CCCCAAAACCCCAAAACCCCAAAACCCCAAAACCCCAAAACCCCATAGAAGAGTTAGACAATTGAGTTACAAGAAACTTCTTAGCGAAATTATATAAAATTTTTCAGCAAAAATGGCACAGGAACTCCAGGAAATGGGATTCTCTGGTTTCGGAAGCAATCCTAATTACGGTGCAATAGATACGAATGAGAAGCAAGAAGATTTTAATGATCTCAAAATAAATCTTGGCCAAAACCAACCTGAATACGAGTATAAGAAGACTGAACCACCTGATCAAGAAGAGCAAAGGATGACTGTATCCTCTAACAACAATGATGAGCCTGGGGATCAGCAGCAACAGCTGACCCAGGCACAGATAGACCAGAGAGCAAACCGATGTTGTAATGGTGTTCATCCAGACTATTACCAGCGATATTTCGATGTCACCACTCAAGATGTGCTCCAGAGGATTACTTTTTCATTAGTACCTATGAACAACAAGCTTGAGCAAGCGATTGGGGAGAATCCTGACTTCTATGGACCTTTCTGGATTTACACAACGCTGATTTTCCTCCTAGCTTTTGCTGAGAACCTCCACAACTACATTGCGGTAGGCTACGAGAACTTTGAGTACGATTTTAAGAACTTCCCACCCTCTCTCACTATAGTCTATGGGATTGGGTTTGGCGCCCCTCTGCTGCTCTGCACAGTTATGAAATATCTCAGTGATATTGAGATGAAGTATAAAGCAATCACTTGAATTTATGGGTATTCCTTCACGAGTCTCTGAATCTGTGTGACTTTATGTGCTGCACCTGTTGACATCCTCCAATGGATCGCAGTAGTGGCTGCCCTTGCTGTAAACATTGGCGTTTTGTTCTTTAATCTTAGTGCAGAGCTGAATAAGAATGCCCCAAGGCTAAAATGGGTCCTTGTTATTGGCATCTGAATTCTCCAGATTGTCCTCATGATGGTCTTCAAGTTGAAATTCCTGCATATGATCAAGACAAAGTAATCCCAGGTTTGGGTTTTATAATTATTAGACAGAAATATTAAGGACTTGTACCAACCTTTTAGAGGCATTTTCAATTTTTAGGCTCCAATTTGGGGTTTTGGGGTTTTGGGGTTTTGGGGTTTTGGGGTTTTGGGGTTTTGGGGTTTTGGGG